TTTGAAAGGTGGGGCCCCGCGACCATTAATAATGTGGCTCTTTACAAGCCCTGTCAGATCGTAATACGAACGAGCAGGAGAAGAGAAAGAGAAGAGGATCGAGCGTGCAGCTAAAGACGAGGATGAAGCTAAGGTTGCATCAACCATTAGCATTAATAATAAACGTCTGATGTCCAGTTGGGTTGAGGAGGAGAAGAAGATGAAGAAGAAGATGAGGTTGAGGATGGTAGAGCGGAGTGAAGAGTTGTGTCGGAGTTAACCAAACAAAGGGGCGGAGATGCGTCGGTCAAGGGCCCAACTTTACCTGCTTAACGATATTTACCTTAACGAGTTGCCAATAATTGCCCATTTTCTCAACTGGAACTCCTCAGTCTTATTACGTACGGTGCACGAACACGAAACCCATAAGAACAGCAACGATGACAACGAAAAGGAGAAAACGTTGAGAGAGAGAGATTAACGAGTCTGGTTTTGCATTGGGGTGTCGCGGTAATTTCTCGATCAGCAATTAAATCCGGAATCGCGCGTACGTAATTTGCACATAACGAGATCGGCCTTTACCAAAAGTTATCTATCAAAATCCGCGCGGCGAATCTCACGTGCGAGCAATTAAAAAAAATCGACTAAAATAAAATGAAGGAAAGAAAGGAGAAGAGGAGATGCGAAGAGAATTAAAGCTGGTCGTGATGTAACGAGACTTTCGTGAGGCGAGATAAAAATCTCCCGACAAATCATTTCTTGGGCTGAGGCAACAAACATACACACACAAACTCACGTATATATAAATACATAACACACACAGCCATTGAACCGAACGAACCCGGTTGTGAACACGGTCGAGGAACGAGGATGGACACGCACCTGGGATGCGGTAGAAGACAAGGATGGTGCAATGCTTCGAAGAGCTATGAATATTTTACACTCGTTACTTGCAGGCTCGTAAATTAGTTTATTAAAGATCCCATTCTGTATTTTGACCGCGAACAGACACAACGTTTATTCCCAACCCACCCTGTTCATCTTCATCTCATTTTTGGTTGCGATCCAGGGAGTTAATTAAAATTTTGAGATTCACTTTCATCGCGTCCATGAATCATTTCACTTGATTTGACAGGTTTACCAACTGAGTTTTTCGAATTAAGTTCTTTTTTTAAAATATTTTTATTTAATTAATTGCGGCGAAACTTAAATAGCCATAGCCAGGTTCACAACATTTAAATATTTTGCTAATTACATGGCTGTAAATCTGAATTTATTACCATAAAGTTAATTAAATTTTAAAGATTCACTTTCAGCGCGTACATGAATCATTTCACTTGATGTGACAGCACTGTCAGGTGTACTAACTTCGTATTTTGAATTCATATTTTTATTATTCTAAAAATGTATATAAACGAGGTATATTATTAATATAAACCGTTTAATGCAAAGGTTTTCATTGAAAAAAAAAGGAATAAATTTCGGCAATGATTTCAATAGATTTCAAGAAATATATCAGGATAACTAATTTCGTATTTTAAATTCAGTATTTAAAGTACGAGTGCTAAATAAAAGTTATACAAGTTATTTATAATCACTAAGTTAATTAATTATCTAAATTCTCTCTCAACGATTACATGAAAATGTCAGAACTTTATTTAGAATCGTTTTCAGGTTTAACAACTGCTTATTTTGCATCCAGTTTTATTTATGCAGAAGCGAGGTAATCCAAGCCAGTTTCACTTAATCTGAATATCATGCTAATTATATGGCTCTAAGTCTGTGATAATTATAATAAGTACTACACAAGACAAGTAGTTTGTGAAAGAAAAAATAAATACGTTAAGGACGCTTTTGAAATGAGTGTGCTAATTAAATGCCAGGTTCCACTTTCAATTAAACCATGAATCATTTCATTTGATTTGGCAGGTTTACCAACTTGGTATTTCGAATCATGTGATAAATACTAATGAAAATAATTGACTGTAAATATGACATATAACAATTGAAAACGTAATTATAAATTGAACATCAATGCCTCTGAATGAAATAATAAATAAAAAATATTGGTTTACATAAAAAATAAGATAAGTGTGTTATTTCGTGTATGCTTTACTTAATTGTGTTGGGACACACAGAATGTGTGAACTGATAGCAATCCGGGGTCTAGACGAGATTAACGAAATTCTTAAGAAAGGTGAGAATGTTGTGGACACTCATTGATTTCCTGGCATGTAAAAGGAGAGGATTGAAAAAAAAACATAATAAACAGAAATAGGTCTTTCTGAGCTTTCCTTCACTATTTGCATTTCTACCTGGTTGGAAGAAGGCAGCTGACTAATCTGGACCCGAGCGCCGTTGACAGGTTATCGCTATTTGTACTGGATATTGTAAGATAAATCTTCTTTTCCTGCTCGTTGTGAAGGTAGAGAAATGTGGCCTAGCTAAAGGTGCGAACGTGTTTCGAATAACCAATAGCAGGTACCAATTTGAATAGAACAGAAAGAAAATCTTATAATATGAAAATTGCTCGGTGTTACAGAAGAGAAGAGAGTCAACAGCCTTTCTTCGCCCCGTGCGAAGACGCTTATGATGCACAGAGATTCCCAGCTGTTTTGTATTGTTAGCGGATATGCATTCAATGTAAATTGATGAGTTTCGGGGATTCGTTTTTATAATTCATATTGTGGGTGATTTCACCTCCAAACCATTTTCAAATAAAACTGAAATTTTGAAAAGCTATGTTTTTCATTGATTATTAATTGATTGATTATTAATTGATTGATTATTAATAACAATTCTAATAATAATTTAGTTTAGTTGGATATCAAATTAATAGGTGAGATAGTTACGATGAAAAAGAAATGTCAAGTATGTAAATATTAAAAATTTCAATATATTAAATTTGACAAATTATATAATCAAATTAGTTTTAGTTTATTTTATTTCATATATTCGTGAACTGTATTAGGTAAATTATATAGCAGCATATAATTTGTAACCATTTATTTCTGGCGATAATTTCAGTTTCAAATATGTAGTCAAGTACCAGACTTGCTGAGGAAAAAAAAATGAAATTATTTTAAATGCTGAATGTTCATTAAATAGTTTTGAAGGATCGAGTTTTTAAGCTCGTTGCAGCGGGTTACACGGGTCGCGTCGATTTCGCGTGCCGTTCGTTCAATTCGATTTTCGGGGCAATTATGGTAATTGGATTGGAAGCGAAAACGCGGCTTTCGTCGGCGTTTAACGAGGTGCAAGTTGATTGGATCGTGAGGTGTAATGATCTTCGTGGGGAAGCAGAGGAGCGGCGCGGAGGGAAGTGACCATTAGGGTCCGGCGAAGAAGGAGGAAGATCTCGAGCGGTCATCTATTTAAGAATGAGCCCAGGTATCGCTCGGGGGAGATGGACTGGCGCAGATAGTGGAAGCGGAGCGAAGAACAACAAATAAATACGGAGAGAAAACGAGAGAAGAAAAAGAGAGGAGAGATCGAAGCAGACGAAGTAGAAGAGACAGCGGTGGCGGAGGACGAGGTGCATTCCTCTTCTTCTTCATCTTCCAACTTCTTCGGTTCGAACGAAGCAGAGTTGTAGATTATGTGCTCGTCCGCGGGAACAATGGAGGCCCCGAAAACGTCTTATTAAATCGACAGCATCGTTTGTTCGGGAAACGAGACGAACGAGCCGTAAATCTGTGCCTAATTTAAATGCACGCCTTTGTTCTGCTCGCGCGCCTTCAATACATCAACCCGTCGTTCCCCTACACTACCATGCCTACTATTCCAGAATACCATCTATCGCAGAAACACTGAAACAGCAAACGAAAAAAGCATACTTATTTCGCAAGGATCCCTACTGATTAACTTGATAATCAGAGAGGTCAAAGACATATTCTGCAAACATCTGTATTTACTGTCTTGCAAAAGTAGCCCACTATGAACAACTACAATACTATCTAGTATATGGCAATAATAATATACGTAATTTCCGCAATTTTAATAATTGTATCAAGAATTTCAAGTTGTTAAACAAAACGCAATCTAGTCTATAAACAGTAGTTGGTAGTATTACTAAATGAAAACTGAATTTTTACAGGTATATCATTTAAAAAATATGTTATCATATTTAGATTATAAAAAGTGTTTCTCAACCAATGTTTGTTTTATCTTTATTATATAAAATTTACAGTTCGTGAAATAACAGGTGTTACTTTGTGTCAAAGCGAGGAAAAAACTATTGCTGTACAACTAAAAACAAATATTTTGGGTTGAGAAATACTAGTTTATAATGATTCCATAATTACAGGCATAATTTGGATCTGAATGTAATATATGAAAGATCCATAAATCCATAAAATTTATAAAATAATGAACTTAAATTTAATATAGCTGTTTGTTTTAGTCACAGAAATATATAACTATACACTTTCAGACTTTAAAGATTATTAAGTTTTTTGTTTGTTTAAAGCTGTATTACAAATAGAGCTGCTATTTCAGTTTTATTGTTTTTGGATTCAATAATTAATTAACATACATATTATTATTAATTACCGACGTATTTGTAACCTACTAAATAATGTATACTTCCACAAGTTTTCAAATACTTGTGGACTCGTCTACATCTATGACTCATTTTGATCTTATATCTAGAAGCTACTTTAGATTTGTATTTTTTCTTTTGCGTTTCTATTTTAAATTTAAGTGATGCTACAATTAAGTGAATTTTAATCTCTGATTTAAACGATCATTCCTATCATGAAAACGAAGAAGCCGGTAGTAAATATAAATCATTCTTTGGCGGATTTGGAATGGTTTCGTTCCAGACGGTGGCAGCCACTTGAGTGCAGGCAGACAGATGACTGTTCTCATTTCTTTCTCTCGCTTGGTTTCGCGTAAATAGTCTTACAGCCTATGCGTTCTTCCATCTCTTTCTCGCGCTGCGCCCCAATTCTTCGTGAAGTGGTGGTAATACCAGCAGCACTCGAAATGCATTTAACCGCAGTTTGTTCTTTCATTTCCAGGTGGGTCTCGATTTGCATCTGGTGGTTGGCCAAGGCTGGTCTCGGATGGTCCCCGGAGAAGCTAGGCAGCCTTTCTTCGTTCCTGCACGTCGCCTCTTGGGGTCTTCCGGCCGCCCAGACAGTCGGAGCACTGGTCAGGAGGGACGTCGACACCGACGAACTCACAGGTAATATAATAAAAAGCACGAACTGAGGACAAATTGAATTGCTCTCCTCATTAAACCTCCTCTAATGGCAATAATCGAGTTCGCTCTCCAAACCATTCGACCTCTTTTTGCGCATTCGTTTCGCTGAAACGCACAACCATCAATAATGTATTAGTGTGGTTTATATCCACGGTAAACGCGAACGAGGCTGAACCGACCGATCGAGGGGATTCTCTGAAACCATTTCTTCCGTCTGCAAGTAAACATCTAATTGGTGAAAAATCGATTCGATGTCTGCCGGATTGGAAATATGACGTAGGTATGGACAATATTGTCGGACACGCATACCGGAGTTACTTCGGCACGCAGTAATGGCTCTATCGCTCCTTTGGACCATCATCAACATCGGAGGCCATTCCGCATTTCTTTCTTTCCTCCCCGCCGCTGATCTCGCGCACGGCCGACCGTTCCTCATTCCTTGTCACATGCCTAACGAGTGATTCCATTCTTCTTCGACTTCTTGCTTTCCTGCAGGGATTACTAATTGGGGTAAATTGAATTCTTCCACCTTCGCATTCTTCATCAACACTTCCTCCTCTTACGAATTCTATAATGGTTTGTAATTTGAACACCACAATGAAGGGGAGCATTTTAAACGACAAACCTAAATAAGTCCCTGAAAACAGTTTAAAATCATAAAAAAATCAAATTAATAAAAAAATCTATCACAGTTTCTAATATTCATGGATTATTGAATGTAAACATCTCCAAATGACAATAAATGTTATAAAACATATATATAAAAAAATAACTAGTTCAAAGTAGAACTAGGCGCGGTGTGCTAACTTTAGATTATGTAAGTAGACTCATTTATATTGGCCAATGGTTTCCAAAGGAAATAGATTAATGTGAACGATTTTGTATAATAAGATAAAAGCAATTGTGTTATAGTTAAACACTAGAAGCGGACTATAGTAACGTAATTCATTCAAAGGAGGAAACTTGAGAAAGGAAGTGAATTGAATTAAAATTGAAGTTTTCGAATTGAATCCAAAAATAAATTCGTATCTACGTATCTCGTTTAAATTCGATATTAAATTGTGGAAAGGAATCGATTTTTGATGAAAAAAAAATAAATGTGAATCATATTAAGTTAAAAGCAATCGAATTAAAACTGAACATTTAATAGTATACTTTGGTTACGTAATTCATTCAAATTGTTAACAATTTTAAATGAAAATGGATAAATGTAATTATTTAATGCAATGAGATAAAATAAAATAGTAGTAGTAGACTTTAAATTGCTTAATGTAACTGATTCAAATAAGAATAATTGAATCGTGAACAAGTCTAATGGAAATGAATTTGACTCGATAAGATCTGACTGTTTCCAATAAAAATGGATAAATGTGAATTAATTCTTGTATTAAGTAAAAGCAATTAAAGTAAAACTAAAAGCGTTCAACGCATTCTTATATTGTATAATGTAACTCATTCAAATTGGATGTTGAATCGAGTAGAGATTGCGATTTCCAATGGAAAGGGATAAATGAATGAAATCTGAGAGGAAGGAAGGAGTAGAAACGTCGTTAATTGAAGGCCCCTGCGACTGCGTGTATCTGTACTGCATATCTTCGTGCCTCATTTCGGGTGAATGGGAACATAAATTTCGGACGAAGGAAAGGAACGCGCATAAATAAGTGAAATAAAGGAGGAAAAATGTGCAGATGCAAATGCAGGCGTATTGTGTGTGCGGTTGTTGTGAGGCAGGGCTCGCTCGTTTGGTGAACGCATGCGGTCGTTCCTTCGTACGTTCGTTCGTTCGTCGGTGAAGTAGAAAGAAAGGGAGGCCGCACCGAAAACACGAAGAAAACAAAAAGAAGCAGAGAGGACGGTCGGTCGGGACCGTTTTATCGCCGATAAATCTCGTTGTCGTTGCTGTAGTTGCTGTTGTTGTCGTCGTCGTCCTCGTTGTTGCTGTTGTTGTAGTCGTGGGCAGTGAAAAAGGATAAAGGAGATATGGTGTGTTTTGCATACGCCGAAAGCCGGTGGACGAATAGAGAGAGAGACAGAGATATAAAATGTTGCGGCGGCATCGAGAAAGGGCTTCCATTGTTTCATTTTTGCGGAATTAATACAACCACCCCGAAGACGACAAAAGGTAGATCACTATGGGGATCTGAAGCCAATTATTTTATGCGACGCACCTGCAGATTGCAATCTGCGTCAGATAGAAGGCGACGTTTCTGCGTATTTCTGCCTTCATTGAAATGTTTATGGAACATTTATCATGACTCTTCTTACAATGCTCTGCTCCCAACGAAAGAAGTTGAAGCATATACCTTCATCGCTCCAGCTGTCCACGACAATCGAAGTAATATTTCCAAATTGCAATATGAAAACCAAAAAGACTCATCAATCAAATGACTTGAAAGAACTTAACTTGAAGCTCCCAACGGAAGAAGATAAATTTGTTGAAACATTCGTCTTTTAAGCAGTCTATCCCAATCGAAATAATATTTCGAAATTGTAAATATTCAAATGAAAGAACATAACTTGAGAATATTGGAATTAGCTAAAGATACTTTCAGTTTGGTCTTACACTACAGTCTTGCATTATTATTAATAAAATTGATACATTTTAAAATCATATCAGGAGAATAAAAAAGTTTAACTTTAATTATAAGAAGAACATACTAAATAATATCCAATAGATTCGGGCAAGGAATTTCTTACTTGCAACATTCGGCAATGATACAGCAATTTCTGCTTCAGATGAGTAAGCTTCGTAACCTGTAATTGCATCTCAATATCTTAAAGAAAATCTAAATTAATACCAAGAATGGAGAATAACCATGGACGAAAGTAAATCAGTGCAAATCACCATTAATTTGAAAAGGATACAATCTACTTACATCATCTAAATGGAAACACGTAGGTTACCGAGACTGAAGTTTAGTGTATAGTGAACAACACAGATTATTTTTATATATAAAAATAAAATACAATCAAGTTATATTTATTTAGTTTCTTCAATCTATCTCTTAAGTTAATCATCAACAGTTCATTACCATTGTACAGACTTTTCTAATGGTTCCTTGGAAATGCAAAAAAAAATCGTATTATTGTATGAAGACGTATAGATTTTGATTACTTACAAATTCCTAAAACTGATTTACTTTCGTTTACTTAAAAAATGTTATGTATTTGTTTGATAGAGGTTTTAACTTAGGTTTTTAACAATATATTAAAGGTACACTTTCTAAAAATTTTCCATGAATTTTATTGTGTTTCAAATATTGTATTCTTTCTTTTCTTTTAATTGCAGGTACTTGTTACGTTGGAAACAAGAACGATAGCACTCTGCTCTTCCTCGTCCTGATTCCGCAGGCCGTGTATTTGAGCTTAGGCGTCGGTGTCCTGATCGTAGGTTGTCTGAAGCTGCTGAAGAAGCCGAGGACATTGGCCGTGGCAGCACCGTTGACAGGTACAGCTCCACGCAAAGACAGCGACATTCTAGGTGCCCTCGCTACCCTCTACGTTATCCCAACGGCGTGCGTCTTGGCTAGCATCTGCTACGAGTATAACAACCGGAGTCTCTGGTACGCGACCGAAGAGAAACCAGTGGTCTGGGCCTTCCTGCTGCGTCACCTCATGTCACTCTTCATCGGCGTCAGCACCTTCTTCTGGTTGTGGTCCAAGAAGACGCTGACCGCGTGGAAAGCCGTCGCCCGACGGATGGGACCTCGCAAACCGTTGGCGGTGAAGACGCTTCCGGTCAGGTACAACCCGCCGCCTCCGCCACCTGCAGCCGCCCACTCTCATATACCATCAAATTTGAGCACAACCATGAGTACAGCCAGTCGCCACTCTCGACACTCCCATCGGAAACCCAGAGTCCATCATCACAGATCGGGTTCCGAGAACATTCTGTAAATACTACAAGCTACACTACACTTTGTACTTAATTTATGTATACATATTATTCCATAAGACCCCTTTTAGCATTTCTTTTTAAACATAGGAGAGGGTTCTCATAGACTTCTTTCTCACCAGTAAACGTTAATGATACTAGCTAGCATAAACAAACATCAATGTACAAACTTTCATCTTGGAAGACTCGATTTCCTTGTACAGTGCCATGTATTTAGTAGTTCTAGGATTAGGCCGCATTTTTTGCCGCGATCGCTAAACTCCCTGATTCGATTAAAACCAATTTAATCATTCCGAAGAGTTTAATTTTTTTTAATATACTATTAGGCTATTTCTATGTTTAAAACATAATCTCATCAATTATTGATAAATATATTTATATTAGTTTATGTGTATATAAAATGTGTTATATATTATATATAATATTTGTGATATATCTGAAAAAGAAAATAATTATGTGCTTCATTTTTTCTTCTAAAATTTAATGAATATTTTGTATTAAATGTTTCTTATTAAATATTTACATGTGATCGTTTTATTTCCTCCTACCATATCTCCACTATTATAATTAAAAACTTTTTTTTGAACAGTTTTTTAAAAATATACAATAATATAAAGAATTGGAGTAGATATAAAAAAAATAGTCATTATAATATATATATTTCCATTATCCCGACTATATCGAAATCCCGACAATCTAAAACTTAATAAGATTATTAATTGTTGTTATTTATTGTTAATAACATAAACTAAT